AAACTTTCGGCCCGCTGATGTAGGGGGGTTATTCATCAGCGGTTTATGTTAACAGGTGAACCTATATATAGCAGTTTCCATTTCATTGTCCTTTTCCATGTAATTCTCCATGGTTGGGGTAATGTTATCCTTATTTATATCCCTAAACCCTAAACCCTTTTAATTCTAAGGGTTCTGCAGTAGGGTTTAGGTTGGGCACTGCCAAACCCAGTAACCGTCTATATTAGGGGTCCTATTAAGCGCTATATATAACCATATTGTACTTATTATCCAACTGGACAGTAACCAAGGTTTAGTTAGGGATCCTGCAGGTCTTTTCTTTCTCATAGCCTGTACCGTACACTCTCGTTTGCAGGCCCCTGGCACCTATCGTCTCCTTTAAGTACATAGAATATGGCTTTGGGTATATTATACTAAGATCCCGATATACCCCATGTTCTAACTACCTAAGGGGGACGATAAACCCATAAAACATCAAGAAGCAGAAGCTCAACAACCAAACCCTGTACTTATAAAACGCTCGGTCATAGAGCCTCAAACTCCTAAACCCTGAAGCCTCAAACCTGTAAACCCCTAAACCCTGAACCCTTAAATTCCCAAACTCTCCAAGCGTCTGGAAACGCTGGATGGGTCGAAGACCGCTAGGGGAGGCCTCCGGATTTGCTCGAATCTCGGGTGGGGCTTGGGGTTCCGTCTGCATATAGTCCCCATTAAGTAGATAGAATATGGGGTATATGGGGATCTTCTTGGAATATACCCAAAGCCATATTCCATCTACTTAATGGGGACTATAGGGTTTAGGGGTTGGAGCTTATATATAAGTCTATTCAATTGGGGTTATATAGGGACAATGGAAAATGACATGGAAACTACTGTTTAGGGTTTAGTGGTTTACGGTGAAGTGTAGAGCTGAAACTTAAAATGTTCACGAAAAGGGTCCAAAAATTACCCTAAGGCCCAAGAATCAGGTACTTGGGCAATGCGTAATGGCAATTATAGTACAGGTTTTGGGTAAGTATATGATTTATTGAGTACTGGGACCCTTAGGGATAGGTCAAGTTAGGCAACATTGCCAAATAAGCTGATACGGTAAACCATGACTCTCTGTCTGCATCTAGCTTAGGTCCCTTCTAGTGGCTAGTATCCCCCTTAAATATCCCCTATAGTCGTCCCCTATATAATCCCCTATATATCCCCCCTTTAAGGAGTTTAGACTATGGCTCATATACAGATTGTGGGGACTTAAGTTGCTGCACCTGGGGGCCAGTTCTGTTTTTCAGGGGATAAGTCCAAAGATCTCATGTCCAAGAGGGAGCAGAATACTTACTCAAGCTTGATTGAGAAAAGTAAGAATGGATCCCTACAACAGTCCTCCCTCGTAGTAGCACTACTACGACTATGACTGATACTAGAACTAATTTCAGTTACTAGCATGGGTGTTTTCGAAATGTAGCCTTTCTCAAGCAGACATACTTCTGGGCCCCTCAGGCTGTGAAAGGGGAAAGTCTGTCATTCTGGGGTCGTTCGTAAAGGAAAAACTCTGTAGGGGCTACTTGAAAACATCGTGGACCTCCTGCAAAGCCTTCATGGTGTTCTGTATGAATATAGGGATTATGCCAGGACTACATACATAGAAGGGAGTGGGCGGATGCGTGGGTCCAACAGCAACAGGACTTAAGCGGTGCGTGCGTTTTGTACGGCATTTTTGTGCGGGCAAAAATCACCAGGACGGTTATGACATTTTCAGGGCCTGGTAAAGACATGCTTCATGTACTAACTTCGCCTAGTTGCGCTGACAAGAATGATGCTGATTGCCAACTAGATAGGTCGGACATACAAGACCATACAGTAATCCACAACAGCAACTATAACAAAATCTAGGGCCCAAGCTGGCTACAGCTTCAGAGTTTCCTAAAAGAACCTTTGAACACAGCCACATCCACCCTAAGCCCCGGGCCCTAACCCGTACCCACCCTAAGCCCTAAGTTTCCTGCCTCCGTTGAAGCCACAGAAGTTGCCGCAAAGCCGTCCTCCAGCGCTATGCAAGAAATCCCCAAGAAGGTACAGATTTCCAGGAGCAGCTACACTGCAAAATGCAGCAATACCAACCTGAAGTATCCCTGAGTTGGTTTTTTTGCTTCTCCACATAAGATTTCAATAAATCCGGGCCGGAGGAGGGCAGAGCCCCGTTACAACGGGACCCCACGCTTCAAGCAACCGCGTGGTGCATGCTTATTTAGGGCGCAGGTCGTCTAGGGCAGGTAGCCGTCACAAACCCCTTGTTTGCAAGTATTTTTATTTGCCCCTTACACTAGGAGGTTCCGCATGAGATGATAGGACTTCAACTATCCCCCAATCAAGGCCCCTTTCAGAACAAATTCTGTCAGACTGCCGACAGGTCCGGGAGGTATCCGCAGAAACATCCCTAAACCCCAATCCCTAAACACTAAACCCTGATCCCTAAACCCTAACCCTAAACTCTGATCCCTAAACCCCAATCCCTAAACTCTCAACCCTGAACCCCGAACCCTGATCCCTGAATCCTAAACCCTTAACCCTAGACCCTGAACCCCAAACCCTTTGCCCTCAGCCTTCACACGTCTGGGGTGGAGGGTTTAGGGTTTAGGGTGTTTAGGATTTACGGTATTTGGGGATTAGGGTGTAATCATGGTTTAGGGGTTAGGGTTTAGGGATTAGGGTTCAGGGATTAGGGTTCAGGATTTAGGGATTAGGGTTTAGGGCTTAGGGTTAGAAGCAAAATCCTGAAATCACGCCGATTAATCTTATGATCATGGTTAGCATCACCAGTCGTATTCTGAGTCTTGCTATAGTTCTAAACTAGTACTATGGATACGGTTACTATTACTACTAGCACTACTAGTATTCTGATTACTGTCATTACCATGGCCATCACTACCATCATGGTTATTGCTCTCCTGCCTCCTTCCACGTCAGCAATGGATTTGGTGCATCTGCTCAAATTGGCGAGTGTTCTCAGAAAATAGATTCGACAACATTTTCTCAACAAGTTGAGCAGATCTTGTCACTTGGAGAAGATTGTGTGGCGGGGCTTCAAATATCAATACCCAGCACCTGATAGTTTCATTGCTTCTCTCAATCGTGGTTCAGGAAAGCCTCCATGGTCACTACTGACAATGTGCTTCTGCCAAAGGATAAGCTGAATGTTAGTCAAGGGAGTGCAATTGAGGATTCAGTGTGGATACAACTCCTGCAGGTTAACTACAGTCTTGTAGCTTCAGAGCAGACACTTCAAAGCCTAAGGTTGACGAGGCTCATCATTTCCTTCTGAACTTGGGGTCGAGGAGTTTGGGTGTTAGAGGGGATGGCAACCGAAAACCCGCCGACCGCCAATCATGCCATCAATGGTGACAAATGGCCCTACTGTGGATGGAGCTAATCTTACACCACACTGCATTTTGCACCGTGAAACGCAGGAACAGCGGCATATTGGGCCTTCACTGGGGCAAGGTACCCTCCATCCACCGTATATCTTAGGAGGACCCTCCACCCCTGTAAAAGTGGTACAATAGGAATATGAGGACCCTAATATAGTCTTTATTATCCCTTATAGTCTCTATTACTGGGTGGGGGGTCTACCGAACGTATATCTTACATCCTCCTAGCACTGCAAATTGAGGCCGGACCTTGGCGTCCAGTGAGAGGGTCTTCTGCTGCATGGAGTCATGGAAGGCTGCCTTGTCCTGAACCATGAAGCCGGCCGCATACTGTTGCTGCTACCATAACTACGGTGGATGCTAAAAATCCTGCATGACCCTTAGTAGCATATACCTTGGTCATTATAGTGCTACAGTATATTAAGGTCATGCAGGAATTTTAGTATCAACAGTAGTACTATTGCTTTGCTATTACTACTACCATTACTATCACTACGTATTACTATTACTATTACTATTGCTCTGACCATGAAGCGCACCATCGGCTATAGGGGATCAAGATCTGGAGTTTAGGGAGTATGGTTTCTCAACATCTTGTCTTCCAAGGGCTTGGGGGGTTTACAGTGTATACGAAATGTGTGGAGGATCCCAACATGGGGAACCAATTCATACTCCGAAAGCTTGTGGGGTGCATAGTGCAGATGCCCAAGCTCAACTTAGATTCAGTGGGCAAGCCCATGCGAGCTATTGTCTAAACTTCTTGTATCCCCCTGTACCCCCATAACAATCACCCGAATAAAGATTCCCTTATAAACCCCTTTGAGGAGTTTAGACTATAGCTCATGTGAAGCTTGATTGCCAGTGCCGCCTCCGGAATTCCAATCGTCCCCAAGATGCATCCTGCAAAGAGTATTTACCCACACCTGAATTCCTCATATGACTCCAAACCCCAAGAGCTTAAGCCCGAAGCCCTGCCCAAAAACCCTAAACCTGAAGCGCTAAACCCTAAACCCTTGTAATCCTAAACCCTAAATCCTGAGCCCTGATTCTAAACAGTTTAAGGCTTTCTTGGTGATGCCCATATAGGATTTTGGCTATAAGAATGACCATATACTACAACTGCGAGGGCCCCGCTACCTATGTAACAGATGCTTTGGGCACCAAAAGGTCCTCATGTGGGACTTGTCTAACATATAGGTAGCTGGACCGTTTGGGTACGGGTCATCAGGTGCAACGACAAACTCTTCACTCAAAACTCCAGCATTTCAATGTCAATAAACTGGACCGTTTGGGTACGGGTCATCACGTGCAACGACAAACTCTGCACTCAAAACTCCAGCATTTCAATGTCAATAAAACGCCTGAGCAGGACCTTGCCTAACCGACTCGCCCCATTTCAATTCTCAAAAAGTGGGTACACTCTGACCCACAACTGTAGGCCCCCCATTGCAAGGAACAACCCGGAAATACACCCTTAGCCTACAAGCCGTCTGTTACAACTAGGATGATAAGAACAAAAGGAATCGCGTGCATTTGTTAGATGCCCGGCCTTGGGGATTTCTGTACGCCTGCAGCATATCAAATCCTTGGTGGATGGGCTCTCTGGAGAAGAACAACAACAGCACTGCAACGGAAGACGGTTAAGGGCCTAGGCAACGCTGACTGCGTAAACCTCAAGCGTATGCGACCGGGCGGTCCCCACAGTTGATGGAAAGTGTTCCTGCCGGCTTCAAAGGCGAATCCGCATGTTCCTGTACCTTAGCCCAAAGTTCTGAGTCAACAATCACCCTAAATCCTAAACTCCAAACCCTAAACCCTAAGCCCTAAACCTCGTGCAACAATCCAAAAGCCAGTTATGCCACACCCTGCCTGATCAATCTCTCAAATTTTCAGCACGAAGCCTTGAACCCCAGCACTGGAAAAGCATCGGCTGTTTTGATGAAATATGATACTCTGCATAAATCCGCGTGTACATTTACATCCATGTACATGCAACTACATGCATGAATATGGCTGCCAAATTCTGCATATATGTATACATAGCTGCGCATTTACATGTGAGTGCGAATGAATACACACACATGTACATAAGTAAAAGAACTGTTGCCAGTATTTCCCAAATAACTTAACGGACATGGGCTCCTTATGCGGGACTATATTATGGACTACACTACACTACAATAGGGACCCCTATGTCCACTGTTAAGGTAAGCGTCCCTGATAAGGCTAGTATTGACAGTAGCTCATATATGTATTCTAATCTAAACCTTTTATTCACCCTAAACCCTATAAGCCTTAAACGCTCAACAGCCCGGGCTCCCAGAACGACATGGCAATCGAACGTGATGCTTCGGCGTCGTGACGTGTAGAGAGATTCCACTTCCTAACCACAATACCATCTACCCTATATAACCCCTATAGATACCCTATATAACCCCAATAGATACCCTATATAACCCCAATATAGTAGTTTCCATTTTCCATTATAACCAAACGAGAATGCAAGTGCCCCTCTTAAGGATTACATTCGGTAGCCTAATTAGGAGAAGCTTGCTTTAGGCATCAAAGAGGAGTGGTTCATGGCATCCAACTGCGTCGTATCAGTCATCCGCACTGGTGGGGTGTCTTTTGGATGCGGGCGGTGTTACACTGGGAAGACTTGAACGTCGCGATGTCTCAATCCTGAGTACTAGACACTTGAGCAGGCCAAGTGCAAGCGAATGCAGTTTTCTGTGAGCGGCGTTCAGAGGGATAACTCCCATCATCACCTAGACTATGACTAGGGCAATTGACTGGGTTCTCCAAGGGGGCAGTGGTTAATGTTACGCATGCGCTTGTGCATGAGGAGGTGCGTACGATTTATTGGTGGCCGCTGAAGGAATTCTGGGACAAAGGGTTCAGGGTTTAGGCTTTAGGTCTTGAGGTTTAGGTTCTGTAGGGCAGGGGGAAAGGCTCTAGATTACAGCAGGTCTAACACTTGAAACATGTTGACAGTCGTCTTCCGGACTTTGGGAGGTCATTGTGAGACACCTCCGTTGCAACTCAACGTAACTACCTGGTGCCAGCTGCCTAGCAGCGAATGAAGGAACAGATCCCCATAGTAGTCCCTATATATACATATATATATCACACTAATCCTTAAAACAGATCCCCATAGTAGTCCCTACATAGATGTACATATATATATATATATGAACGACACCCTAAACCCTAAAACCGATCCCAATAGTAGTCCCTGTATATGACACAGTCGTTCCCGCTTTCCTCCATTCCTGAGACCTTATAAACCTCACACTCTAAACTCCAAGCCCCTAAGCCCAAGAACTATCAGCCCTAAAACTGGTGTTGGGCTTGGGGTTTAGGGTTAGAGCTTAGTCTAAACAGTATATAAACTCGAAAATCAAAATGCTAAATCTATTCCCTGGACAGCAGAAGGGAGATGAACTTGCAACCCTAGACCTGCCTGGACCCACAAAGTAGAATGGCTTCATTGACGATTTTCAAAGTTCTTAGGCCATTTCTTGTTCTACTTCTGAAGTCCAGGTACACCCCTTAACCCTAAACAGCACTTCTTTTTTTACTCAGCGGCTCTGGCACGCCGAAACCGCGCCGGACCCTTCCGTGCTTCTATTGCACAGGACCATATAGGGGTCTAAAAGCTCCAGGCTGTAGGAACAAGGGTCCACACAATCCTGATAATACCCTATATAAGCCCAGTTTCCATTCCCCTTCTGGCTTTCCATTTGTTTGTCACCTTTTTAACCTTAAGCACTTAAACCTGAACCCTGAACCCTCAGTAGTAGTTCCCATTTTTTCCATGTTCTTTTCCACTTGATTCTCCGCTCTTTAGGTAGGCCCTATGGGTCCGGGCAGGAAGGGGCGGTTGCGGGGCCTTAGGAAGCGTCTTCAGCAACAATAGGTACATGGGATAAGGGTTTGGGGCTAGAACCTAAACCCTAAACCCAAGGTTTAGGAATAAGTTTTTGTAGGAGTTTGGCCGATTGTCTAAGATTCGGATTCCCATTCTCCACACAGGTGTACATACTTGGGCACGATCGTTCTTTATGGCAGGCTTGGCAGTGCTGGACAAGGTGGCATTATCTCATTCTAAGTTGCTGCTGTAGCTCCTTTGGCACAGGCTTTAGGGTTCAGTGGACGTGTAGGGATCATGGAGATTCCTTGTCTTCTTCGGCCTCCTCCTGTAAGTCTGGCGGAGCTGAAGCAACATCTGGTGCAGCGCTTTCCTTTTCTGGAGTCCCCTTACAGAAGCTGATCTGAGCTACAGGAATATGTTGTGGTATGTTTCTGTTGTACAAGATTCCACGGGAAAGGATTATAGTAGTGAAATCTAATGTAGCAATGAAGGATCAATACTTAGTGATTCAAATGTTGGGACTCACAGAATCTTTCCCTGGGAACATCCTGATCCTTTTTCAACTTTGTGTTCCAGCTGTCATCATTGGGAATCGCTTCGAGGTCGTAGCACGAGGCACACTCACCTGGGCTCCCGGAACTGCTACGATGCAATTCACATCTGTTGCGGAGCAGATAATGTGGGCAACTTCTTCCGGGACTGTGGACTGAGGGTGTACTCGTTTGACACAGGTACCTTCAACGCAAAGTATTTAGTTTTATGGGGGAAGGGAATATATGTAGGCCGGTTTAGGAAGTCTTTGGATGGCTTTGGAATCCTGGGGTTTAATTTTTCTTCATCTCGAATAATATCGCAGGTCGTGATCGGAGCCAGAATCTTCACACAGTGGAGGGATTGCAAACACTAGGGGCCCAGATGGTTCACTGCCGTCCTAATGCCCTATGCCTCATGTCTCCTACATGTGGGTCCTGGGTCTAGGCCAACCTGGCTACGTCTCTCCGAGGATTAGTATCCAGCGTAGAACAAGCATTTGATTTAGCAGCTGTTGTTGTTATCTTATTTCCACTATTGTTGTATGTATACAGGGATATTGCGGAAGACCACCAGCGTATGAGATTCTTTTGAATATTAACTTCTCATGTTTCCCAGGCAGACCATGGTGACTGTTCCAAGAAGCATGTTGCTGCTGGGAATGCCGTGGCTACAATCCTGGGTCAAGTTCTCATTCCTCTGCTACTGTGGCTTGACATACACTTCCTACTGGAGCAGCCTGCAGCTCAACCATACCAGCATTATTTAAGGGGATTTACAAGTCTGTTTATTAATGTTGTAGTTAGTGGGTTAGGACAGGCATTTGCAGTGGACTAGTTATTTCCCCATGCTAAGTCTTGCATTTAAAAGACTATGAGGCTACTTCAAAGCTTTTCGAGTGGCCTGATATCGCCCGTATCAGAGAGGAGATTCGTGCCCGCATGCACAGCGACTTTGCCTCCCCAGTCTGGCACAGCCTCCGCTTGAGCATGGGTTTCTTTGGAGGCTTCAGCAACAAGCCCTTGAAGCTTGAAGGAACGTGGCCAGGTTTGGGACTGCTTGCTAGGTTTCAGGCTGCCATTGAGGAGCACTTGCCCGAGAGAGAGATGATGCAGTTGACTGTAGGTAATGGAAAATGGAAGATTCTCGGCCAATCTCATGTAAGTTTGTGCATAGTTCTTTCATGGAACTTGTTGTAGGTGCAGGCATGGTTTCATATAAAGCAGTGACTTCCACATTTTTTACATGACTTCCCTTAGGACTGGAGACAAGAAGCTGATGCCTGCTTCTGCCATCTACCCCAAGTACTTTGCGGCAGCATTATTCAAGGTCCGCTACTGGTTGCTGAACGGAGCTGATGGGGTTGACATTAGAAGCCACGCAAAGATGTATGCTGACAACGTGCCATCCGTTGCTGATGCTCTTGATCTAGCACTGAGGGATGTTAGGGTCCACAACTTTGATGACAAAGATCCTGGATGGGAAACTATAGATCGGGACCTTCCACCTCCTATGGATCCCCAGATACGTGGCGTGCTTCTCAAGCGCAAGAGGCTGGCCAAGGAAACGTCAAAGCAGCCCATCACGGTGGATGATGACTCGGAGGATTCCTCTGAGTGGCCTCGTCCACATGAAAGATCACAAGTCTATGGTTGGGGTCTTGGTTGGGCATCATGTAAGGAGCATGTGTAAATACGTTAGGAGTGCAAGTGCTGATGCTATCATTCATTCTCTCAGGTCTTCCGAGCCAATCTGGAATGGACAGATTCTTTGGAGGCCTGGATGATATGATGTACGTACGCTGTGGGGATTTTTGGAGAAGCTTCTACATGTACATAGGAAGTGTTCTGGGTCTCTAATGGCAGCTGCTGCTACCGTTTCTGCAATTGCTAGGATCAAGATGTTGTGAGGGAACCTCGTCTAAGCCATGGTGTTGCTTGCAGGTGATTCCAATGTAGCGTCTTCCAATGATGTTCCACCTCTTCTACGTGCCCGGCCTTTGGAGGACAAAATGGGGGGGGGAAGCTGCTAGTCTCTCAGTGTGATTCTTCTTGCAGGAGCGTGATATTCCAACCTCGCCCATGGACTACAGCCCATCCGCATCTTGCCAGCATTTCTGTGAGATCCTGATCTGGCACAATGTGTATGCTCACTGTGACAAAGTTGGCATGTGTTCTATTCTTGGCCTGATACTTGGTTGCGTGTTTAGTTAGGACTTGTTGCGCTGAGCGTTGGCTTCACTCAGGTAGATCCAGAACCTGAGCCGAACGCGTGACTCCAGCGTGGCTTGTGTTTTGGGACTCTTGGGAAGCTTGAATCCACTGGCTGTGAGGCCATGAGGGCCAAGTCAGCCTTGCCACTTTCATGCTAGGCATTGCTGTTGCTTTTACTTGTGCGTGTTCAGCGTGACAGTTTTGAGACTGGCGCTTGAATTGACACGCCAATTCGCAGATGGGGAAGATGGCCGTGCTTGGACAACATTAATGCATGCTGTCATTTCGCAAGCTTGCCCATGACAGTTTTATGTGGATGAGCTAGCGGCATGGAGAGCACTCTCACATGTGTTTGCCAGCTTGCCCCAGGAACTCATGTTGACTGTCCAAAAGGTTTCGGCTTGGAAGCGTAGGCCGCGTAGGCGACTACTTGTTGTCAGGCCTTGCCTGGGCCATCTTAGATCCTCAGATGCCCCGTGCTAAGCATGCCAAAAGTCATCGCAAATCGGATGGCAAGAGGAAGGACCACAAGAAGAAGGGCAAACGCTCGTCAACCTCCTCTTCGGCTTCGCAGGACAGCACCTATGCGGAGGTCAAATCCATTGCTGAAATTTTTGGCCTGCGCCTTGTCTGCATGTCAGTCTGCGTATTGCATATGTGGAAGAGTTTGCCTGGCTGAATTTACAATAGTCTTGGCAGTGCAGTGGCTTTTCGGGAGCGTAGGCAGATTCCGTTTGGGTGTGCGCTGCTGCTGTTGTTAGTCTTTGCTGCTGCCAATGGAACTCTGTGCTTTGCAGGAAGCCCAAGCACTTGCAATTGGGTGCGAAGAATGCGCGCTTGGGTGACCTTAATGCGGCTATCTTGGCAACGATTTTGGCCAGATCCCTCCCGTTCCTCACGGAGAACACAATCTTCGCCCTCGGAGGAGAACTTCTTGAGGTTGGGCGTATGCGCATGTGGAATGGATCATGTTTTGTGAAGTAGGGATTTTGCATGTTAATAGTGAAGAGTTCCGTATTGATGTTTTTGAACAGGTTCGGAAGCGTGCCCGCCAGACTGCCAAGTTGTCTGAGAACAATGAGCGCTCCATGAACGCACGGTTGGACATGGCAAATGCTGAAGCTCATGCTGAGAAATCCTGGCAGAGCAGACTTTTGGATCTCTTGGAAGCAGGCTCAATATCTCCTGATGTTCATGTTCATTTCTTGACCTTTTTTCATCGTAGCTCTGATGTTCCCATGTTGCTGCTTGCAGTTGCTGGACTTACCCGGCTCTCCGTGATCTCACAGCATCGCTCGCTTTGCACACTACGAAGGCGTGCAGGGGTTAGTGTCAGTGGATGTGCTTTATTTGACTTACGGACTTTCAAGTCCACCATCTGCTCAGGGGCGTCCGGTCTGAGCTGAAGAAGTATGAGGCGCACTCACAGGAGTATGCAGCTCTTCAAGTACGCGTGAAGGCAAGCTTGGAGCAGGCAACGCAGGCAGCGCTTGTGGACATGCGGCGTGAGAACCGTGAAGGTGACTTCGCACTCAGGCGATGTGCATCTAACAGGTCCCTGGGAGGTCGCGGTGACCGCAGCCCTGGCCCTCCTTCGGACTCTGATGGAGATGCCTCTTCGGGTTCCCCGGCCAGATCTCTCAAGGACAGTCTTTGCGTTCCTGTTTCTTTGCAGTGCTCAGTTTTCATTGTACAGCGTGGACAGGACAAGGGCAGATCACGTCAAAGGCAACGCAAAGCCGTGCCGGGAACTGGGAGCACCGATGTCTCGGCTTTGTTGCTGTCACGCGATGATGATTTGTGGACGGGACCCTTTCGCGCCACTCAGAAGCGGGGGGCGGATGTCCTCACAACCTTGGCTGAGGGGGATGTCAAGAGTGCCTTGGGAGATTTTCTGTGCAAGGACCTGGACACATTCATACCCGGCGAGGGTGACCGTGGGCTCTTCCTGAAATGCCTTCAAGCTGAGGGCTTGGCTCCCCGCTCCGCAAGCAGTGAAGGGTTCTGCGATTTCAAGTCCTCGTTTCCGGGGTTCCTGTATTCTTGTGGCTTCACCGTATCACTTCAGGTTTCCATTCGCCTCTTCCTGGAAGCTGTGCGCGATGGCTGGTCTCCTAGTGATGATGTAGCAGGTGAGGAACGCAAGAAAGTTGTGGCTGCCATGTCGTGGACGGGTCGCACGGCGGTCAAGCGGTTGGTCAAGCACATCGGCGTGGAACTGGACAGCCTGCATCTAGTCAAAGTCACGACATGTCTTGCTCATGATGTTGTTGTTGAACATTTTTTTCTTGGCCGGTTCTTCCTCATAGGACTCCTTCCTGGATCGTGATCACCCGCGAACTCTTTCCTGATGCCCCGGAGGGCGTTCGCACAGCTGTGGATGAGATTGGTGCAGCCTTGGATGCTGCAAAGCACGGAGATGAAGGAGGGAAGAGTGACGTTGCTCGCAGGAACAACAAGGGCAGGTTGGAATACAGGTCCTCGGAAAGCAAGTAGCAACCCGGAATAATTCATGTTCGGTAATGCGTTACTGTGGTGACTCACTTGGATGGTTCGCATGTTGTGCATCGGTTGCTGTGCCACAGACTCATCTTTTGTTCCTGGCTTTAGCCTCTATCTGTCTACATGTTAGCTGCCTTCCGAATGCGTCTTAGTGATTCGTGCTGAGGTAAGCTTCCTTGTCGTGTTGCCGAATGTGGGTGACATCCAGGGGGGAGAGCCTGTCAAGCACAGCCTCTCAAATTATGTTCTGTGGTTCGCAATGCGGACTGCCGTAGGACCTGCTGGGATACTGCGTAGCACCCTCAGCAAAACAAAATCTCTGGCGGGAAAGCTGTAGTGTGGTTAGCCTACTGCATCTTCACAGTTTGAGCCTCTCTTGCAGTTCATGTGGGTGCAGCAGATGTATGGCTGAATCCTGCGTGCGCACCCTCCTTTAGGCATCCCATCCCCCTGAAAGCAGCTATGGATGCCTTTCGAGACTTACGCGATCTCTCTGAAAACGAGCTTTTGATCGTGCTGCAGTACATCGTGAATGAGTTGGTGTCGCGCAGACAGGTGGACCCCGTGGAACCCCCGGCGGAACCCCCGGCGGCTCCCCATCCCAACGGACGTGGTCGCAGCGAGTCCTCGCTTCGGCAACCGCCACGCTGTGAGTTCATGTGCGAGTTCTGTGGCTCTGCATGCGTCAGGGGTCAAACAGAGGATCACAGATATCATCGATGCAGGACGCACAAGCGCTGGTGAGGCGTTGACCGGGAGATTTCATTCAGCCTCCTTATTATTAAGGACGTAATTCGTGCCTGGGATTCCATCCTAATTCTGGTACAGGCCTCAGGGGAAGAGTGGTTTCTGAATCAACTCGCCCTTGGATTTGAAAAAGGTCCCTCCTCATGCCTCACGCGGTTTTAGGTCAGGCTGCATTCTGCTTGGAAGCACTGCGGATTTTGAAGCAGCATCGTTCTCTTCGGGCAGCAACGTTCTCTCCAGCCACAATCGTTCTCTTGAGACAGAATCGTTCTCTTGAGCACAATCGTTCTCTGGTGACACATCGTTCTTTTAGATATTTTCCCCCTAAAAAGGTTTTATGAGGTATTTGATCTTTTTGGGTCCTAAAGTACAATCCAGAAAGAATGGTGCGTTACTGCCCGTTTCCCCACGCTTGCTTCACATGCACATACTCAAACAGAATCGTTCTTTTGGGGCCGAAAAGTTCTAGTTGTGCTTCATGTGCGCGTGGCTGGCCAATGGATCCCGCAGCTGATGTGGAGGGGTCTCCCGGAGAGGGGGCAGAGGCACGCGGCTGTGTGCGCACATGTTCCATTATGCGTTTGCAGCGACCCTGGATCCAGGCTTGGGAATCGCGATTACAGCAACTCCTTCGGCAAGTTCCCACTGAGGAGGGGGCCGATGATGATGTACGTACGGCTAAGGTCCGTATCCGAGATCATGTGGCGGCTAGATGGTGCCAGTTGAAGAAATGGGGCCACGAGCGAGGCCTGCGCGAAATTTCAGAGCAGGCTGCTAGCGCTTGCTGAGCTACACGGTGACGAGTTTGCTTGGGCACCTTTCCCGCCCTCTCAGCAAAAGAAGGAGGACCTAAAGCCAGCTGTTGGAGACGAGGAGGACAATTCTGGGGTGACGGTTGGGAAACCTGAGGCCAAGAAAACTGAACTGGCCCCTCACGAGTTCCGATTTCTAAAGGCTGCTGATGGCGTCTGGACGGTTCTTCTCGTGCCTTGACTGGGCTTGTGCTTATCTGGTCACCTCCCACCTGTATTCTTATCGGAAATTGCTTCTAGCTTGTGAATACTCAGGTTCCCGAGGGTCGCGGCAACAAGCAAGGCTACGTACATTATTTGAGCATCTCGGAGTGGTGGAGGCTGCGCACACCGCTTTCGCAATGGTTCACGAAAAATTTCACTAGTGTTTGGCTACCATTGGCGGATCAACTGGACATCGACACTGGTCATGCTAGGGACTCAGCTCGTTTGTACCGAATTCTGCATTTGCAGACTGCCCTAGACCCTTTGCTCCTGCTGCTGAAGGTGCTTCGGAGACCATCATACAAAGGTGCTGTATGTCTGGCAGAGACGCTTCCCGTGGATGCATCAAGTATTCTCGGAACAGTACTTGTGCTGGCCTGCGTGCTGCCCACCAGTACACTGACAGCCGACGCCGTTGCAACCTGTCAGGCCGTGCTAAAGGAGCTGGAGAAGCACATCCCCACGGATGCCACCTTCCGTATGTTGCCGGAGGACCCGTTGTTCGTGCTTCAGCTTCGTGATGGCCGTGTTTCAGCGGATGATTTGAAACAAATGATGCGAACCCTGGGATTATCTTGGCGCAAGCTGCTTGACTTAGCTTCTTGCACTGCCACTCCTCGTGTTTCGAGCTCATGCTATGTTAGCCCTGTGCATCTAAGGTTGGCCCGCAAACTTCCTGAACCAATCAGCCACACACTTGCTTTCAGCAGTGTACTTCTAGCCATGATGCGTCTACGCGGTGACCGGGATTTCTGGCAGTCTGTCCTGTTCCGTCGCATGCTGAAGCGCTCCATGCACTCCTTCTGTCAGGCAGCTGATGCAGGTCTATCGGCCGCTCTACTTGATGACTGCCCTTGTCCGGACACGGCTTCAAAGTACCATCCCTTTATGCGCAGCTCACGGCTACGCGGCAACAAGGCTTTGGAGATGGGAATTGTGAACAAGTTCATGGTTCGGGGCGGAGGGTTTGTTTCCACCAAAACGGACACATTTCTCTCTGACCTCGGCATCGTGAAGCAGCGCGCAGCGCTGGCTCAGAGAACCTCAGGAGAGTACGTGGCAAGATCACTGACAAAACAGGCGGACTTCCTGGCTGAAGTGTTAGGGAAGCAGGACATGAAGACCATCAACATCGCCGTAGATGCTGCTTCAGTTTGTCATGAACAGGCTGGATTGCATGTGTACGTTCCAAACCCAGACCGGAACCCAATAAGAACTTGCCTGCCAGGTTCTCTCCGTGGTGTTCCGAGCAGCTGGGCATCAGTTTGCCGGTGCCACTCAGATCCTCAGTTCGGGCGGTTCAACTTCGGAGGAGGCGTTGCAGGCTGCGGATTCCATGGCCAATGCAGTTGATGCAGAACTGCCGCTGTCAGGGCAAGCCAAGTTAAGCATTGCCCCCTCAGCCTTCAAGTGGAAGGAATTTAGAACGCCAACTAAAGTCTTCCTGAGTGGTATGGCCAACGCTCTGCAGCAGATCATGCCCGCAGGCTTCACCCTGAAATCGTGCAAACCTGAAGAACCCCTTCGACCTGCGGGCCCTTTGGGAGTGCGTTGCCAGCTGACCCACTTGGAGATGCAAGCCCAGGAGCTCGGCGACTCTGCCGGGTACAGCTACTTCCGGTACGATTCAGAGTCCTTGCAGGCATGCCGGGACTTCTACGCGCACGACGACTTTCATCATCTTGCGCTAGTGGCTGATGAGGGCACAGAGGCAGGGGGGCTGAGTAGAGGGCACCCCGAGTAAAAAAAACAAAAGCACCGTCTGCTCCAGGGCTTCCTGGCCTTCCAACATCTGGCCTCGCAAGACGCCTGGATCGCTTTTTGGGCTGATCCATTCCACAAGGCTGCTCGGAAAGCCTCGGCTGCTATCCGCTCAACTGCAGGCGGTGAGGAGTTCTTGAGAAAGATGATGAAGCTGTACAGACACACCAGGGGGCCATTCAAAACATCCAAGTTTGGAAGACTTGTTTCGGAGGCTCGGGATTCCTTGATTGCAGTTCTTCAGAACGAACCTACGCACTCCATCCTAGATCCATGGCTAGCTGGCATGCGGCGTGACAATCAGGGACCCTTGCATGGAAGCTGTGTGGAAGAGTTTGACTCCAGCACTGCTTTGCAAAACCTGCTGGCTCAGAAAGGCCTCTTGTCTGGGATTGAATGTGTGTGTCTGATCTCTCACGTCCTCCCTGCATCCATGTATTCCTGCGCGTAACACCGATCTGCCGTAAGACTGAGGCAAGCTTCATGTCCAGGGCAGTGCCGTGAAGGATTCGAGATGGTTCTCGTTCTGGGACAACGCCTGTGCATGGGATCAGCAATGGCACAGCCTCGCGCTTTGTCATGGGTATTCCTTCTGGTTAGAGGGCAAGGATCCGTGGTCGTTGCATGCTCCTCCCGTGGCTAGCAGTGATGATTGTGGCAGCATGCGTATTTTCTCATGGAATGTGACTTGGTGCAATGCATGAGAGGGCTGTCTGAGCTGTAGGAATTACCCGCAAAGCAAAACTAGGGAGGTGCAGGTGTAGCAATGGCCAAAACTAGGTGCCAGCTGTAAATGATCAGGGTTTGTGTGGACCACTGAAGAATTCATCCCCGGCATCTGTGAAACCCTAACCCACTAATCTAAGCCCTGAAGCCTCCAAACCAGAACTCCCCTGCCCTCCCCATACATTCACATTTTGAGGTCCTCGCCGACGACTTGAACCAAGACAAAAACAGAAGCGTCATCATGATCTTTCGTGCTCTTCGTGAATACATCTCGCAATGCGTGACTTGGCTTGAAATGTACATGGCCGCTTGACCGAAACCCCACAGCTACAGCTAAGTCCCACGAAATGCAGAGCTCCAAGACAGCCTCCGTTCGCATCACCATATCGCTGGCCTCCGGAAGTCGGGTGAACAAGTTGCTGGCGCAGCTTGGGCAGAACTAGAACAGACTCTGCTAACGTATGAGCAACAGTCACGCTGTAGTCTTGAAGGAGGACCGTGCAGGATGCCACCAATCTGGATGCTCTGGCCTATGTGGGGGTAGCTGAATCCGAGGACGTGCTAGAATGGCATGCTGATCTGTTTCTGAACCAGCTCTCCTCCTTGTTAGAACTTGATGAGTATCAACGAAGCTTTCCATGGAGGGTGGCTGCAACTCTCTCCGCGCCTTGCAGGGCCCACGTTCTGGAGGACATGAGGTTGCAGTGGCGATTCGTCCTCACTTTCCTGGACAAGCTCAAGCCGGGCTGCGCACTGCACACTCAAGCTTCTCTCACGCGGTATCAGATCTACCGCGATCTTATGAGCAAAGCGGAGAACCTCAACTTTAAATTATGGGATAGGAATGTGACATTGTATTTCAATATTTGAGAGTCTCACGATCCTTCATAGGGTTGACGCTCACTCAGCCCAGGAGATTTGACTTCGCCCCTGACAAGATGGACGATGATGAAAGCTACCCGTTCAGGCAAACCGTGTGCTCTTTCATGGGCATGACAGATGATGAACACAGCTCTCTTTTGAGCTCTCTCCCCAATGAGCTTATCTTCAATGACCTTCGAGATGCTTCCCGTCGAGGCTACAAAGCGGAGACCTGCACCCCATGCAACTTGCACGCCTGTGCCCTAAAATCATGCTCGAAAAGACCTGCTGGATGCTCGGGGCTAGACATTTCCCAGGAGGACTGGTGCAACACCCTGAAAGGAAAGAGTGTGCGAGCAACAGTTCACAGTGCCACCAAGCCTCGGGATGTGCAGCTGGGCATTGATTGCAACGGCCTCACAAGGCATCGGAAAAACAATGCGTACACAAAGCCTCATGTCTTCTGTCAGCGCCTGAGACTCCTTCGAGTGCTACAGCAGGTTTGGGAGAATGCAGCTGGGGACAATGACATGAAGGGCGAGGCTGTACTTCGTGCCTACAAATCCACTTGGACTAGCAAGCTCATCCCCACACAAACGTTCTTGCGTTGGGATGGTCCTGAGCAGATGGAGTCACGCAACATGGTGCTGTCTTCAGGTCCTCACGCCGTGCAGTACGCGGTTCTCAACTTGATCCCCGGCTGCGCAATTCCTACCTTTGGGTTTGTTGCTGGCTACCAGGTGCCTCGAGATCCGCAACTCGTAGGCCCCGTGGAAAGCTTCGAGCTGTGCATGACCAAGCCAGTGTTGACTCCTGACGGTCAACTTGGGTGGCAGGAAGTGGGCTCTTTCATGAAGGTCTGGGATTATGTAGCCGACCACACCATCACAGAGATCAGTCATGATTTGCTTTCCAGGCTTTGCTCGTCCCTGAAGATTAGAAACCATTCGAAGCTTGGCCATAAGCGGAGAGTGGATGCTTTCTTACAACATCTTGGACGGGACCCTGCCTTCATCGAGGAAGTGTTGGACGAGATTCCCGAGCACCAGCCCAGACCTCGGCAACAGGTTGAGCAGGACCGCGATGAATGGGATTAGTTCACTATTGCATACCGTAGATCTCTTTCGTATAACCCTTATTTGAATTCTGTTTCTGTAATTTGTACAAATGGCTCCATTTAAATCCCTCATGCTTACTGACCATACCGGGCCCCATAACAATATGCAATCACAAGCACCAATACTGACATTACAATCATTCGCTAGGACCATGATGATGGTGAAGATGGTCAGCCTGCAGACAGACTGGACGGGCAAACAGAAGACGAAGCGGAGGAGGAGCTGACAAGAGACCTGCATGAATGTGAGAATGATGTTGATGCAGTTCCCCCGCAACTGGAACCCCCACTTGACCCTGATCAACGCGTCACCCGTCCCAGCTGCTGCCGCCGCGGCGCACAACGAGGATCCGGAAGTGGTGGCTCCCATGGAGGAGGATGTGCGAGCTGCTAGAACAGCAATTGCACTTTTTCTTAATCCCTGTTACCAAACTTAGATTACATCTAAATACTGCCCGCGTGATCCGCAAGGCACTGATGCAATTTCCTTCTCATGCCTAAGTGCTAGTACTAAAACCTTCCTGGAAGTATTTGCGTACGCCTAAGAAAAATCGTACCTTCATTTGCAACAAGTTCAGGCTAGAGTGGACGAACCCCACCTACCTCCTGTGCAGCGTGAACGACCATCTGAGAATCTGCCGCCCTGTTGTTCCATGTATTTTGGGCACCCAATAGGAGCGTCCCCATTTGTACAGGTGTACTTGCCAGCTGGTTTTCGATTTCAATCGAAGCGTTCTAGATGTCAATGCTACCGAGATGATGATGCTGGTGCAGGCGTTCTGCGAGGTACTCGCAGAAGTAAGCAGGACGCTACCAGGTCAGCTGTGGCTTGGGTCTGGAGCTGGTGGAACCAGCTTAATGAGGAAGACAAAGCTCGCTTGAAGCAAGCTGCTGAGACTCCTGAGGAGCCTCTGCCAAAGAGACGGCGTCGGGGTTAGGGCAACTAGAGTTCTATGAACCCCTAATTCTTTACAAGATAAAACGTAGCAAATCACAAGGCCCTCATCTTGATGACCATCTCTGATTGCGTGCTAGAGCCTGGGGAAAGGCAATGGCGCTCTGAGCAGCAAAAAACTGTCATGGCCCGCTTCTCGTGCAGACGCATAATCTCACCAGTACACTATCCTGTCCCTGGCACCATTGAATTTTCCCTCAGAAATGATGGTAAAGATGAATGACTTCAAGGAATGGGCGGTTGTATCTTAGAGATTGAGGAGTTCCCATTCAAGGGTCCAGAGTTGCATCCTAAGTCCCACCGTCGAGGTCTAATGGTTTAGGGTTTAGAGTTGAGGGTACTGTAAGAGCCTAAATAACCAAAGTAAGGTTGTAGGAAAAGCCACTGATGATCATTTATAGCTTCTACCGCAAATCGGCAACCACTACTTTGGCTGTTGGTCATGGTAAAAGTAGGTTCGGCAGTATGTAAGTAAGTCGATTTTCTGTTTATACTCTGACCCTTGGTGCAAACTCTGCAGGCAACACCATGCAATCTGAATCCTCAGCAGGTGTTTAGATTCAGACGTGTAAGATATGTTTCTGGTGATGATAGTGAGCGAAATCATCATGCATGAAGGGTTTTTACTCCGTGCTCAGATCTATCACACTTCCATTGATGAAGCGCGCGGCACCCCTGCATTGCAAGACGCCGGAGCAACTTGAAAGAGCCATTGAAAAGGGCCATTTAGGAACCCTAAAGTTCCTAAAGCCTGGTTTAGGGTTTAGGGTGTTTAGGGTTTAGGGTTGCCTTTGGCCAACAAGAGCTACCAATCTGGGATCTGTAGGGCTCCAGGTGAATCTTCTATTGACCGCTAGAAGCCTTACTGCACCCTAGACCTGACGTAGCCAACCTGATTTTATCGGGGACATATATAGATTTTCCTGGGGTTACCTAGCTGTCTTTAGGACCCACCGTAAAAGTTAAACTTTTAGCCTCCTTAATATGCAAAGTAGGAAGCCCAAAAAGTTAAAGTCCTAACAGCCAGGCAGAAGACAGCCTCTATATGTATATATGGACATTGCAAGTATCGAGGTATTTGGATTTGTGGGATGGATGATGAAGTGGAAGCTAGAATTTAGGGCTCAGGGTTTAGGATGCGGGGATTTCTCGAAATATTGGGAGACATAATTACGAGGAGACCATTGCGATGAGGGGTCCCTGTTCCTAGCGATGTAAGCGCAGATTCCAGAAACCATTATCTACCTAGACAACCCTAAACCCTAAACAGCGTAAGCTCGCTGCAAGTAACAGTGATGATGCCCAGCCAAACTCGAAGGGTCCGGCCAACGGGGAAAATTTTCAATGGACGGGTGCAGGCTTCCAAAAGCTTCAGCCCGGCTCGGGGAATAGTAAGGGATTAGGGTTTAGGGTTTAGGGTTTAGGGTTTACAATAGTATCCCCCCCAAAGGTACCCCCCCAAGGTTTAAGGAGCTAATAAGGTCTATATAGGGCTTAATGATGCCTCATAGGGTTCTAAATCTGGGGGGGGGTACCTTAGGGGGGGTACTATTGTAATCCCTTAAATAGGATCGCCCACACAAACCAGGCTTCCGCAGTTAATAGAAAGCCAGGTTTTGGGTTTTTCAGGTTTAAAGTGTTTCGGGTTCTTGGGGTTAAGTGTGCTGGGGTTTTCAGGGTTTAGTGTTTTTAGAGTCAAGGGTTTTTAGGCGTTAGTCAAGGGTTTTTAGGCTTTAGGATTTTGAGGCTTCGTGTTTTTTTGGTCTAGGGTGTTTAGAGTTCTTAGGGTTTA